TAATTCCCAAATGTGAAGCATAAGAATGAATATAAATTGATTTAACACCTGTATCAAAAGACAGTGGCTTAGATTGGATAATGTAGTAATCCAACTATGTTTCTTAAAATCGGATAATATGTTTCTACGAGAGATATAGCTAAAATGAAAGCAAATAAAAAATTAAAAAACACAGTGGCCACCTACACAATGGACTACCACACAACACAAAACTTCTTATGTAATCTACAGCATGGGTGAATCTCAGGCTTGGTGTTGGATGGCAGAATTGACACAGAAAAATACATACAATATGATTCAATTTATACAAAGTTTTTTTTTTTAAGAACTAACCAGTGGTGATGAAGGTCAGAGTAGTGGTTTTATGTGTGGGCATTACTGACCCAGGAAGTGGTGGTATTGACAGAGATTTCTGATTTGTCAATTTGGATGGTGGCTACGCAGGGCATGTACACAGGTCAAGATTCATTGGACTGTAGTCTTGAGATTTCTGTCCTTTAATAAATGTTCGTGATCCTAGTACCTGATATTTAGAGTCCTGTGCTCAGTGTCGCATGAAGAATTTCACTACAGTAGGAGCCTGGGACGTAAACCAGGGTGCCACGCATCCCCACATCAGCAAATGGCTTTTGAAAAGCTGAGTTTTCTTCAACATTTTAAGGTCCAAGTAGAAACGATGATTTTAGCTTAGACTTTCTGCCTTCTGTTGATTTGACAGATACTTTATTTTTACATAGGAATTAAGATGTGTATTCCGTATTTTTCCCCTCCCCCAAATGATGTACATTTAAAGACATGGTTGACAACGTGCAGAAATAGCTTTTTCTGTGCTTGTCTCCAAAACTGTTGTCGTCTTGAGTTTTACTCATCTGTTCATCTACTCAGCCAGTCATTTATTCATTGATTCATGTTTAGTGTTTGTTAAGGAGGACATGTTATGGAGTGTAGTACTAAGGGAAATTCTAGCCCTGAGTGTGGCCCCACCCTCCATTCTATCTGTAAAATCATAATTAAGTTTCTTCTCTGATTCTCACTTCTTGTAATGGGTTAATAATAGTGCCAAGGATGCTGTATCATCCTGAGAATTTAGTAGGACCTCAGACAGTCATTTTGGTTGGTCCCGTACACTTAGGTAGCCCCCACTTCAAACAACATCCATGTTAAGTGAGAACCTGAGACCTTGTCAAAATCTGTGTTTGTTTCAAGTGATTCTTTAGGGGCCAATTATTTCTTTGCAAAAGGAATATTGAAAAATACATCTTGTCTTTCTTTTCTTATTTACAAAATGGAATGATGGTGGAAATAAATATATCTTATAAACATTTTATGTGACTTATAAATACAGGGGTTGCCAAAAACATGTATAGAAGTGGACATTTTGGTCAACATTGCTCAAGCAGTGGTTCACTGTAATCAGAAGTGTCTGGACTCTGGTGGTAGCTACTTTGAGCACCTCTTGTAATTGCAGAAGTCAAATGTGACTTGCATTCATCTTTCGTTATTGGTATATATTGATTATTACAATTTTAATAGATTTTCTTTCTTAAAATGTGTATACATTTTTTTGGCACCCTCTGTATATCTGCACATGTTAGTTCTTGTAATTATCACTTCAGCATGTATTTTGAGGAAGATTCTGTTATGGATTAGCATGGATTGCAATTCTTCTGAAAGTAAGGAGTGTGTGTGGCTAGGGCATTGTGGGTATGTGCACACAGGTGCTCACTGAGATACATGTCTGAGTTGGGGGCAGAAACTGTTGCTTTAGACCCTGATGATCGTCCTTCGACATCTGAAACGTAACCTTGCTTGCTCTGTGAACATTCACTCACTTTCTCTGAGCAGGGTGTCAGGTGGTTATTACCTAAACCAATTTCCAAAATGGGTAATTGTGTTCTGACTCATGCAATTCTCCCTACATTTCCTGACTTTTCAGGTGACTTATTCCTTCCCCTTTGCCCTTAATGGATGTGTAATGAAATGACATATTTCAGAGTCATTGCTGTGTTTCAGACTGGGGTAGACTACTCTTATATAATGTCTCAGTAGAGGGTCAGAATAAAGCCTGGGGCACTCACGCCCTACTTCTACACCCCACCCCACCCCCAAAATTAGCATTTCATCCAGATGGGTGAAGGCTGCCGGATTCACGATTTACTATCATATTTTAGCTGTGAACTTGGCCCATGACTTTGACCTTTCTCAGCCTCAGTTTCTTCATCTGGAGAATATTGATAATAATGTCTAGCTCATAGGGTTTTTATGAAAATCAAACGAGACATGCTGTCTAAGAATAGTTTAAGCACAGTGTGTGGTGTGTAGTGCAAGATCACTAAATGTTGACTCTCAAAGGATTGCTTTTCATTGATTCATTCTATAAGAAAGTCATTAATAGGTGACTCATGTCTAGCTGGGAGGGAGCTGGAGAGATAAATGGATTCATTATAACAACAGATGATAGCATTAAGCTTCATGCAGCATAGATGGGAGCACAAAAAAGGGAGCAATCAATTCACACTAATGTCAGGGCAAGTTTCCCATAGGAAGTGGCCCTTAAAGGAAAAGGGAAGTTTCCCTGGAGGGAAGAGGCAGGAGAGAAAGGCATTCAGCTTGGAGAAGTACCACCCAAGTAAATTTGTGGGTGAGTTTGTTCTTTTGTTAGTCAAGTCCGCATATATCTATTGAGTGCCCATTATGTGGCGGGCTGTGTGTTAGATGCAGGGCACATAGCAGTGAGCAAAAAATATACTGTCCCACCTTATGGAACTTTCACTCTAGAGGCAAGACAGGCATGAACCGTAACCCATATAGCCATCAGAGGGCGGTGAGGGCAAGGGTGTCATCGGATGGTAGAGCCTTGAGGCTGATTAGATTGGAGGCTGTTGTCCAGGAGGCTGTGCAGGTAACTGAGATTGAAACTAAGACCTGTAGGGTGGATGGGAGTGAAGTAAGGAGAAAGTGGGGAAGGCTCTGTGCCAGGAGGATTCTGGTCCCTTCTGGGAACTAAGTGACGGCAAGTGTAGCTGGGACGTAAGACACATGGTGACGGTATCAGAGAGGAGGCTGGTGAGACAGCTCTGGGGAAGGCCACAGAGGGCCCTGATAGTCATTCCAAGGATTTGGGCTGTCGTCCCAAGTCCAATGGGAAGTCATTGAAGTGTTGTGCTTTATGCATAGAAAGGCTCAAGTCAGACTTGTGTTTTGAAAAGATGATCTGGATATTGTGTTTACTGTGAATTAATGGGGTTAAGATGGAAGGGAAGTGAGCAATAAGTCGTTACAGCAAGATGATAGTGGCTTATATGGTGGTAGTGGCCCCAAAATAATAAAATATAAACAGTTCCACTTGGTAAACTCTAATGGACTTGGTGTCATTGATTGGAGAATCAGATAGGTAGTGTCAAGCCACTAAAGAGATTCGTTTGGCTGGCCAGTGGGGAACACCCGTGTCTTAGTCCATTTGGGCTATTATAACAAAAATACAATAGACTGGGTGGTTTATAAGCAACAGAAATGTATGTCTCACTGTTCTGGAGGCTGGAAAGTCCAAGGTCAAGACACCAGCAGATTCAGTGTCTGGTGAGAACTCACTTTCTGGTTCATAGAAAGCATCTTCTTTCTGTGTCCCCACATGACAAAAGGGAAGAGGGGGCTCCCTGGGGCCCCTTTTACAAGATCACTACTCCCATTCACAAGGGCTTCGTCTCATGACCTGAGCACCTTTCAAAGGCCCTGCCTGTTAATACCATTACCTTGGTGGGGGGGGGGTAGGATTTCGACATATGAATCATGATGGGTAAGGGGGTGGGCACAAACATTCGGTCTATAGCAATTTCTATGATATTTCATGCTAAGCAATTTGTATTTATACTACAAAGAGCTGATGGGGGTTAAGAAGCAGGGAAATGAAATAACTAGGTGAGTGCGCTCATGGGGCATATTTATTTCTCTCCTCACCTACTCCCTGTGCCAGGCTTCTGTTGAATTTAGAGAGTAGATGGAAGACATGGCAGGGCATTACTGAAGGCCAAGATTCATGGGAGGCACATTCGTTTGTCTAAAGCAAAGAGGCTACAGGAAGGGGAGGTTAAACTCATCAGTGTGAGAGAGTTATTTATCTTGTAAATGCTCTACCCTGAGGCCACCTAGGCCTTCTCTCATAGAGGACCCAATCACACCCCTCAAATGCCGCAGGGGATCTGGACACAACTGAAAGAGGGACAGCCATTCTGGAAACACAATGAGCCAATACCCTGTGTGGGAGGGGAGGGGTTTATAAAAGTGTTAAGGGGACCAGGAAATTGTGGGAGAGGGGAAGGAGAGACAGAATGTGTAATGGGGAAACCTTGCCATACTGAGCATAGGAACCAGGCGACACCATGCAATGTTCTCAGGCTCTGAAACGGAGGTTCCATAACCACTGAGAAGCTCAGAAGTCAGAGAGAGTGGGGCAACCATCTCCCAAACCACCCCTCTGTGTTGGAATATAGGACTTGGACCCCGAGTAAAGGGCATTTTTGAGAGCCCTGACACCCCATCGCTAACCGGCAGAGGGTGAGATAATTTAGTTTTGAACTGGACCAGCTTTCTCTTCCCTTCCTCGGGGTCAGTGTGTTTGATAGACTGGTTGCATTCTGAAGGGATGGAGCATTTGAAAGGCTCTCCACAGTGATGGAGATACACAGGCGACCTATTGAGAACCTAGAGTCTTTGGTGGGTAAAAAAAAACCCTAAAACACATTTTCTGCCTCTATGAAGCAGAGCCTGTGCTTAATATGCTTCAGGAAGTTGAAAAAGGGACAGTAATTTGTTAACCTTGCTTGCTACGTAGTAAGGATAACACCGAGGTAATTCGTAGCTGTCGAATACACACTTTTCTGTCAAACTGTGTTCATGTGTGATGTGCCTCCAACTTTACATGCCTGCCCTTGGTTTGGGGTTGCTGAGTGGAAGCATTCATTTGCGGAGTATGAGCAAACTTCTAATTGTCTATTTTTCAGGTCACGGAACTCAACAGTGTGAAGAACGTAGTTCGATTGCCGAGGAGCACCAAGAAACACGCCGTAGGGATTTATTTCAGTGATGACACCTCCAAGACCTTTGCTTGTGAATCAGGTTTGTGTGAGGCAGGGAGGGCTTTTGCTTTCAGCTTTTAAGTGGGCGCCGGGCTTACAAGTGAATCTTTTGGACATTCCCCCAGATCTTGAGGCTGATGAATGGTGCAAAGTACTCCAGATGGAGTGTGTGGGGACACGGGTCAATGACATCAGCCTCGGAGAGCCTGACTTACTGGCTACAGGGGTTGAGAGAGAGCAGAGTGGTATGTAAAGAAAATTCTCTCCTTTGTTTTTCCATAGAGCTGTTTTTGTCCCTGTGTCATAAAACATAAGATATAGTCCTTGTTTTATGTGTAAAATTTTCAAAGTTTTAAAAAATGTATAAAGAAGTAAAAATAATCTTTTTATTTCACCTAAAACCATGTGTTAATATTTCATTGTATTTCTTTGCTTAATATGTTTTCAATGTGTAACATGAATATACACACATTAATAACATCAGCTAGAAATTTGGGGGAACTTCATGCCAGTTTCTGTGGAAGACACATTAGATTACTTAATTTTCCCAGTAGCCCTATGACACAGAACTGTCACTTTCCCATTTTACAGATGAGGAAACTGAAGCTTAGAAGAGCTAAAGATCTTGCTCCAATTCCAATAACTAGCGTTTGATTCCTGCCTATCCTCTTGGGCCTATCTTTAGAATGTGCAGATTTTATAGAGTAATGGGTTTTTGTCTCTCTTTCTTCACTTAAACATTTTATTGAAAGCTTCCCAATGTTTTTAATAGAATCCGAACTTCATGAATGTTTCATTAAGTCTAGACCCACCTAAATCTGTGATTGCTTTTGTTCTTTCCACTGAAACACTTGAGCCAACTCTTTCTGAGCTCAACACTCAGCCTGGGAATAATCCATCATTTCGAGTAATAATGGCCAAAATATTCATGAACACTTCAGCAAAACTCAATGTTGGTTTACGGCACGAATCTGGAGGTGAGGAATCATTTCTTTGTCTCCAAATAACTGAGCCATGTCATAGGGCAGCTTGGGTCCCAGAGTTGTGCTTTAGCCTGTGGACTTGACCCGTGAGTATAGACTATAACCGAGAGGCCGTGATTGGCTTCTCTATGAACACGGCACAGGTGAAACTGACTGACCCTTTCCATGGGCACACACTCTAACTCTTGGTTAAAAATCCCCCCGCTCCCCATTGGAGCTATGTCTTCATGACATATTTACAGTTCAGAGCCGTTTTGGATACACCGTGTCTGCCTGACTCTGTCTTCATGGCAATGTGATTGACACAGAGCTAGAAGTGCTGGCTAATTCACAGGAGCCTCTTTGTAGACTGGGAAATTCAGGCACAGAGAGGTCAAGCCATGGAGCAGGGTCCCACAACCAGACGCCAGGCTGCTCTTCCTGTGAGTCACTAAGTCGGGATGTGCCCGGGCTGAGAGGACACACCCGCTGTGGTGCCTCACGGCCAGATGCATATAAAGCCACATGTAAGAGGACATCCCGACAGGTTTTGATGTTTTTAAGTCTAGAGTACTCAAGGTCAGCACTTATTTTTCACCAGTTTATATTTGTAAAGCTGCATCCTGACAGTGCTACAAACTGAATTGAACAATTGGCTGTGCCGAGGACTTACCTTTCGTGTGCCTCAGTTTCCTCCTCTGTCAAGTAGGAATAAGAATACTTGTGGTACATAAGTACTAGGGATCATTATGAAACTCAGCCATGTCTTTTAAGACACTTTACAATATTCATTTGTCTGACTTCAAGGAGTTGTAACTAAAGTGTCACTGTCACCACAATTGCAGTTGTCATTCATAAGCTCTGTGAGTGTAAGAGAACTTTTAAGCATACAAACTGGTAACAGTCTCTCTTACTTTTTACTGAAAGATCACAAACTTTCATAGTTGTTCCAGAATTCTCCAGGGGGGAATTTGCTCCAGTAGAATACACTTTCAAAATAATCGTTTGGTTAAAGGGAGTTTGAAATAACTTAGAAAACTTGAATAATAGAATGCATGAGTACATTTCATGAACACATTCTTGACACTTCTATTTACCAAATTCAACTAAATAAAATCTGAAAATTATAATGACTTCTTTACTATAAAACAACTAATTTAGAATGACATTAATATTATTAGTGCCACACTCTTTTGTCAGGTGTAGGCGAGCCACCATAATGACAGATAGGTGAAAATGTGTTTGCCATAGTAAGAATATTTTTGTTCATATTTCACTTAAAGATTTATGACTCTGTAACTTCTTAAATTAATGAATTTTCTACAAATATAATTGAAATACCATGATTGTCTCTGTGAGGATAAAAATTTAGTTGCTCTAATAAGCCAAGAGCTTTATTTAGAGTAATCTTAGTAAATTTTTAATAATCATCCAAACAAGCAAATTAATATTTCTTTCTGGTATTTGGCTGAAGACAGCTTGTTGTTAAAACTAGTTCAGATATATCCGTTGGCATTTTCCCAAACTGTTGATCTGTTAAATGCATGGTGTTATGTCGAGTTTTATTTAAATAATTTGGGAAATAGTTTTATTCATCTAGTTATGAAAATTATAAAGTGATCAATATAACTTTAATATCATTAAACCATGTGACAATTATTTTGCACCTGAATCTTTTGTGAACACAAATGTGTGGGTATAATTAATATGTACCTGACAGGAAAAATAAATTGTTTTTAATGGTTTCACTGCTTTAGTCTTTTGTTGCCATACAGACTTTTTTATTATGCAAATTTTAAAATTCTAAAAATGGTTTTTGCTCCTGTACATAGTGTTTAGTGTATGTTGACAGCCAGATTGTATCACTATTCTGTGATTTTAACATGGTCTTCATTTTAAAGAATCATTTTCTGGGGCTGTAAATGTATGAGAAAGGTTTATCTTCCTGAATGTTCAGCCAAAAGCTAGGCGATGAGCTTGAATTATTTTGAAATGCCTCTTTGTTCCTACAATGTCTTTGCTGTTCTATTCCTGGGGATTTTAGACTAACCTTTTGTTTTTCTCCCAGAGAGATTCAATGTGTATTTGATGCCATCCCCTAACTTAGATGTACATGGCGAATGTGCCTTGCAGATTACATATGAGCATATCTGTCTTTGGGACGTCCAGAATCCCAGAGTCAAACTCATCTCTTGGCCGCTAAGCGCCCTGCGGCGGTACGGACGAGATGCTGCTTGGTTCACTTTTGAGGCAGGGAGGTAAGTTCCATGACTGTTTTGCCACGTTGTTTTGTTGTGTTTTCCCCAGGTTCACATCGTTTGAGGTCTGGGTTTCCATAGGAGATCCCCCTTGCAGCACACTTCAGGAGATGCATAGCATTGTGACTGTACAGCGTTAGGTACAAGGTAAAAACATTCAGACATGGCATTCTTTCCCATGGACGATTTGAATGTTTCATGAATGGGATACGAATTTTCATTCCACGGTTTGATTTCATACCACTAACTGAAGTGGAATGAGGTAAAACTGAACCATTTACTGGGTCATGCAGAACAGAGAGGCTAGCTTCTTGGCTCTGGGAAAACACCCACACTGTTAGCGTGCTGCTGTTTCCTCATCGGAGCTGGTGGTGGCAGATTATCGGTATGAGGGGCACTGACATTTTTTGAAGTTGCTGCTGGCTGAGGGCGCCTACTTTTCTCACAGTGTAATGCAAGACACTAATACTGGAAGAGGTTAATTCTAAAACGTGCTCATTGCAATACCCAGTGAGCACTTTTAGGGCTTTCCCTTTCTCCGTTTGGAAGTTATTCTGGGGGAGAGAAGATGGCGCCAGTAACATTTGGGTTAATCGTTACCTACAGGGAGAGTAGTCTAACCAGTTTTCCTTTTCCCCCACCCTTCCTCCCTTGAATTTAGGCTTTTTTTTTTTTTTGAAACACTGTGGATAAATTCTATATTTTAGAAATTTAAATGACCAAATTTTAAGAAATACAAGTCCTTCTGTATATGGCCTGACATTATATTAAAGTTGAAAACATTCAACTTGTGACTTAAATATATATTTTGTAAAAGTGGACAGGAATGTGATACTTGTTATGAGGAGACTAAAAACAGAAGCTCCAAGCACCAAGGACCCTAATTTACCTGAATATGTGACAGTAATGCTCCACTCAAATTTATCTGTTAATTCCATTTTTAAACAAAGCCCAGTTATTTAAAATTTGCTTTTAAGAAATGTGATAATTTTTTATGTTCTTACAACCATCCTAGAAAGTTTTAAAATTCTTCTTTCCCATTACAAGTCTCCTAGGACTGGTCTGCTTATTTACAGGTACTGAAAATGTAATTTCAAGCGTAGTATAATTTCAGGTGTAGCATTGAAGTGCTATAAACGAGTCAGTTTATCACCCAGAGACCGCGGAAGTCTTCATGTTAGAAAATACATTTTTAGTCTTCAGGGCAATGTGTTTCTTTCATCAGACTTATTTATTTATTATCCTTATGGGAAAATCTCTATGTAGAAAATTAAGAATGCTTTTGGGAAGGTGGATATATTTCTCTATTTAGGTCTCAGGAATTATTTATGTATTAATTGTAACCAACGAAATCACGGTATTAAAAATGTTTTATGATAGGAAGATTTTTCTGTTGACCATAAACCCGTACCATTCCCCACTTATATTTCATATTGATGCCCAGGAGAATTCTGCATTGATCAGTACATTTGGGGCCCATGTCGGGCAGCACTTATTCAAACATGAATATTTTTCCATTGTTCTTTGATTCACTATTTATAGGAAATAGTAATTGGAAAAAAGTATGGCTTGTTATAATTTCTGAAGGCTAAAACTTCAGTAAACTTTTGTAGTATCTCATGACTATTTGAAACGTGTTTTGAAATTATGTTACTTTTCCAGGTTTTACAACAACCCATGTCTTACACAAGTTTAATTTATTAGCATTGAAATCTAGTAGACCTGCTAAGGATCTAAGATTATTTTAAAGACTTTGATATTTCTCCTACATCATGTAGGAAACCGTAGCGATTTTTAAGCAGGTATATTTTAGGGTGGTGGTGGTGGTGGTGGTGGTGGTGTGTGTGTGTGTGTGTGTGATGTAATAATGTTCCTAATTTGTAAACAATAAGATAGAGGGGCAGATGGGGGTAGGGTGTGGGGAGATACTGAAGTAGCTCAGGTAAAAGAAATGGTGGATAAAAAGTGTGGATGTATCGAAGACATAAATTTCAGAAATGATCTTTGACCGAAAACCATGAAGTGCTGACTTGAAAAATGAGTTTTATTCCATGACTTTGGTCTCTTTATGGTCTGATCTTTTGGGTATTTCATCTAAGAACTCCAGCAGTTAGATGATTATAATACCTACAACCTATAGCACACAGTATTGTGCCTCAAATATTGTAGGGACTTATCCATATTTATTGATGTTGAATAGCATTCTTATTTAGTGTCATGCTTTGTGGGGCTGGTGCCATCTTGAGATGGAATGATCAGAGTGGAAAGTATTGGGTTGTATTCTTAGGATCTTGCTCATTCTCAAACAGCATGGTACAGTGTAAGGAGCAGTGGTTCAAGAGGCAAAGAGACCCTGGGTTCTAATGTCTGTTCTTTGTTAGCTGTTGACCTTCGGACAAAGTGTTTACGCTCCCTCGTATGTTTATCCAAGTAATAACTTCCTTTCAGGGCTGTTGTAGGTAAAAACAGTGTTGCATGTAGAAGGATACCGGGCTTCTCCTAAATAGTCTTTAATATCTTATTATGATCTTTTAGAGCTGGGCTTGGGTTTTGCGGGATATAGGCAGTGTTAAACACAAGGTAATATTACTATTTTATACTTTGCCTGAAACAGAAATAAAGATGAATTTTTATAGTTACCATCAAGATGCTCAGGATAATAAGATCATTCGTGTTCCCTCAAGCGTGAAGGTTTCATATCTGCCTTGCTTTATTAGTGAAGATAATTTTTTCCTTGGCTGTGTTTGGATGTGTCCAAAACAAGGCAGTTTCATATCAACTAATATAATTTTCTCCCTGTCTCATATCGATAAATGAAGAAGAGTTAAACCTCTCTGGGCAAATGGTTTTCACATACACAGCATGCATCTGCCAGCCAACATTTGACAAGAGTTCCCCTCCAGGACACAGGGAATCTACCTAAAGACCTCAGGCGCAGTTATGCTCATCATCAGCCTCTCTCAGAGATGGACCCAAGTGCTGTTCCTCCTCGGTGGCTCCATGTCACCCACCAAGGCCGACACTGGGGTATGTGCAATAAACCAGATGCAGAGTTCGACGAAGCTAAATTAAATTACAGTTCTACCACATACTGGCAGTGGGACCTTGAGTGTGCCGTCTAAAGCCTTGAGCTTCCATTGGGCACCTGTAGCATGGATATCATACATTAAGCATCTCACAAGATGGCACTAGTAAAGGTACTCGTACAAACACCTGTCATAATGCCGGGCATATCCTAGGCAGTAGTTATCAACCCAGACTGACACAAGCAGGAAAGAAATTCATCGGCTCACGTAACCCAAGGTCCAGGGAGTAGGGATGGCTTCAGGCTTGGCTTTATTCAGAGTCCATGATGACCCAAGGTTTCATCTCTTAGTCCTGTTTCTTCCAGCATGGCTTCACTCTGGCTCCACAGGGTGGCTTCCAGGAGCTTTGGGACCTTCTCACACATCAACCCGTAGAAGAGAGGTGATTTCTGGCCCTGTGGACCATTGCGTTTCTACCGTGTCAAGCACTGTACAGAGCACTTTACACAAGGCACATGGGGTACGAATAGGATGGAGATGGTTCTCCCAAAGCAGGAAGGAGTACTGATGTCCACAGAAGGGGAATGGACACAAAGTTTAAAAAAAACGAATGAAATGTGTCCAGGACAGTATTTAATAATTGTTCAAAGCAAATGGGGGTGGAGCAGTGTAATTAGCAACATCACGCATAATGGTGCTTAGATACAGATCACTGGGTCTCAGCCAGGGGAGGTTTTTCTCCTAGGGACATTTGGCAATGCCTGGAGACGTCTTTGCTTGTCACAATGCAGGCAGGGGACACTACTGGCATCTACTGGGCACAAGGGCCACAGATGCTGCTAAAAGTATACTCACAGAGCAGTCCTCCACAGCCGTGAATTACCAGGTCCAGTTATTCAGTTGAGAAGCGACACGTTAGCAGACATAGCCACCATGGAAAATAATCCCTAATATATATTGAGCCCTTACTATATGGAAGTCATCCTGCTAAGTGTTTTCCAAGCACTGTCTCATTAAAGCCACTTAGTGATCCTTTAAACTAGGAAATATTACTATTCCCATTTTCAAAGGAAACTCGGGCATCTGTGTGACAAGTCCAAAGGCATAAGACAAGTAAATAGTGGATTCAGGAGTCACACTCAGATCTTCCTTCCAAACCCTATACATTTCTAAGAAGAGTAATTATCATTCTACGGGCAGTTAGCCTAGTTTTTAATTAACTTTTACCAAGCTACAGAAGAGCAGGCATACTTAACTAAGCAGAGCTCCCTAAAACAATTTGGGATGATATTGTCAGAATATTACCTTTGTTATTTAAGCTGCTCACCATGACGCAGGGTGTCCATCAATGAGTGACAGACTTCCCAAGATATTGGTAATTTGAATGTGCCTCCTGAGATATGCTGTAATGTACAACTTTTTAGAGTTTAATTCTGGAACCTTCCATTTGTTGTTTCAGTTGGCAGTCCTAGCCCATACAGCTATAGCTAGGACTGTTCATCTCTCCTGGGCAGCAGTGACTAGATGCCATTCCTCCTCCACTCCCTCCACCAGAAGCAAGCCTGACCCTGTCTCTGTCTTTTCCTTCAAGAAAGTCAGAGTTGAAACATAAACTTTCAATCAAGTGTGATTGCACAATTAATTGCCATTCAGTGCCCCGGGAGAGAAAGAGCAATTAGTTTATTTGGGAGACCGGGACACCTATTGCTGATTTCATTTGAGGTTTTTCTAGTCTTTTGTTTGTTTCTTTCCACTTTGAAACCCTGAAACTTCAGTGAAGCCCATCCGACTGGCAGGGGCTCTGATTTTTAGGGGAACATCCAGTTGACAGGAAGCACTAACTGTGGCAACATCCCCCACGGAACCGTTCTTGAAATGTTTATTGTTTAAAGAAAGGTGGCAGGTGTCCGGTAGGTTTCTGCTAATTGTACAGCTGGCTGCTGAGTTAGCCTGCTTTACTGTCAGGCATCGCCT